AGGCCCAAAAACACCATCCTGTTTGTGTGGTAGTTGCATGTGCAGCCCTGCTCGGTGTTGCTCCCTGCCCAGAACAAGCATTTGGCAATCTATCCGCAGGGAAAAGGTGTAACGCGTGTGTTTGATTTCAAGTTCCTGCAGTGAACACGCTGTTGGAGGATGCGGAGAAGAAGAAGAAGAGCTTGACAGCAGAGATCAACAACGGAAGGCTGGCCATGATGGCCATCATTGGCATCTTGGTGGCTATCAAACATATCATACCAAATGGTTTGATTGGGGGGGACAAAATTGGACACCACCCCAGTCTTATTGACTGAATCTGCTTTGCTTGGCTTAGCACCGTCAATTTGGCTACAGAATCACAAAAACCAATCACTGCTGAGCTGCTGAGTTCAATTTGTGCATAGCTCTACCTAGAAAGTCAATCTCCATGGTGGATCAGGGATCCAGGTTTTGACCCATCCCCATTATATATATATAGATACCATATGTGTATATATGTATATATTAAATTAATTAGATATGAACTAGATATGAAATAGATTTCCTACGTTTATTTCTACTTATTTTGTTTAAGGCGCGCACACGTAAATTAAATAGGACATGATGTGCAACGATAGTTTTCATGAAAACAGTATCTAGACACCTTGAGTGCATGACTTTTGTGCAGCAACTACTATTGTGGCCGATGACCCCTAGGAACCGCATACGTATGGAAGATTGGTCGAACCCAAATTGTTGACCCAGGCCTTACCTTCGAGCAACACCCAATAGGAACCTTCGATGCTCGGATCGCCCAAGACGTTTGGTGGATCTTGTCGTGACCCACCGAAGACTTGGGATTGATCGTCGATGGCAAAAGGAACTTACAACATTCATTCAATTCCTTCTGATAAGGAAAGCCATCGACAAAAGGAATGTCCCTTGAGGGAATGGACTGTTCATTTAAAGGAATTTTCTTACCCATTCCTTCCTAGCCTTGGCCACTTTAGCCTTTTGAAAACCGTTTGAAAGGAAACAACGTCAAAAAGGTATTGTTCCAAAGAGACATCTCACCCACCCACTACCCACCCCCCACCTTCCATCATCAGCCACCCACCTTCCACCCATTCAGTGAATTTTGGTTGAAGGTCACATTTTCCCCCGACGCCAAGGCATGTTCTACCAGGACGGCTTGACTGGCTCCGCTTGGGGCGACTGGGCCAACTACGCCGACTCCCCCCTGCGTGCGGAGGCTGACTTCTCCCAGGACCCGGTGACGGTGGAGAGGAGATGGAGAGGAGATAGCAGATGGGAACTCCCTGGTCACATGAAAGTGGATGGCATGGCTTACGAACGGAGCGATCGGACGCTACGAACGGAGGGGCTCGAAGTGGATGGTATGGCCCCTTTGGAGGATGTCCATGGCACTTCCGTTCCATTCACCAAGTCAGTGAACTTGCCTCGGATCAAGCATGATCAACCATTGTTAACCCTCGACCTTCTTGAAGCTGTTTTGAAGTTTGATCGCTAGTGTAGGGTTTATTGTTGAATAGAGAAATCCAGACAGATCCGAATTGTTCATGAGCATGGACAAAACCCTTCAGAACCTGTGATGTGTCGTCGCCGATCTGACAATGAGCCTGGGAAGCTCCACTTGGGAAAGAGCCACTGGCATACCTCAATGTACAACTGTTGTGAGACTCACCCGACATTCCCAACATCATTCCCAGCATCATTCCACTCAATCGAATGTTTCACCCTAATGAGGAGCTGGGTGTGACTCCTCCCTTGGGCTTCTGGGATCCCTTGGGCTTCTCCAAGTTCGAGAACCCTGAGGCAACTTCGGAAACTGCGCGCGGTGCTTTATATAATTTGTTGGAGGATGCTGGCTGTTGACCAAGTTCCCAACTGTTCGCCACGGGCTCTTGCTCTAGAGTGAGTTTTCTCCTTCGGAATATCATTATCTCAGTAATTAGTATGGGCTGCTGTGACTGGAGAGTTGTGATTGACGGCTCAGGCTCAGTCATTGATTTCAATCCAGATGCCTGTGCACGATGTTTTGAACCATGCTTGAGACAACATATTCTGTGCAAAATGCTTGCTTACTCGGATGTGGGGTTCGGAGGACTGGATTCTTTACGCATTGTTATAGATTAATTAAACATATATATTTATTAGTTAAACGGTTTCTTTAGGCAGATGGGATGAGCAGGACCCTGGGCGTTCTACCTATACTTTTTTGTTTTTCACGGCTCCCAAGGTGGCCAAGCAGCAGTTCAAGCGCCGCCGCATCGTTGAGATTCAGCACGGCCGTGTGCGACACCCGGTTGGGCCGCAGGGAAATGCCTGGAAGTCGCTCACCGATTGGAGTGGAACTTCTTCGAAGATCTGCGCAACACGTATGGGGTAGGTGAAGAATCTTGAATTGCAAGGCATCAGGTGAGTCTTGAAGGAGTCAGAAGGACTTCGAAGAATTAATATTGATCAATGAAAGATATTGAACAGGACAATCAACGGTTTGTTAGTGTCTCCTTCGCCGATCACTGGACCGCCCCTTTGACAAATCTTTTGTCCCGGACGCCACCCTGGCCGCTCCGTGAAACAGGTGGCCATGTTGGCTTGCATTGGATACATCGTGCCGGAGTACTTCCGCTTTCCAGGCCCTTCAGGATAGTGCTGAGCGGTGACCCAGATGCGAATGACAGCTGCCTAGCCGCTATCTCTGAAACCTTATCATCAAGCAATCAACACCCAAAAATCAGGGATACGAGTGTGCCATGTTGTGCCCTTGTTGCAGTTGTGCAGTTTTTCTCGATTTTCTTGAACAACAGAAACATGGGAAACACATCGGTTCCACTCTTACTTAGGCCGAGAGCCGGTTATAGCCTTCACTTAGACTTTGAGATATGACTCAGATGTCTATATACTCACCTAGCCGGATATGTGGCCCTTCACCAGCCATGGCCGGTTGCCTCAGCCAAGCGGTGAAACCGCTCGCCCGTGTCGGACACGCCAGGCCTTTGCTCCCCTTCCCAGGGAGTGGCGTTTGCCGACATCCCCAACGGCCTCAAGGGCGCTGCCGCGGTGCCTTTGGCAGGCGCGGTGCCTGTGGGGCACTCCAGAGCCCAGGAGTGTGGGGAGAATTCATGTGTTTTCGAGTGGAGGTGGTTCACATAGACCCCCCATGTGTAGGGCATCTAGGGAGTTGCGTCGTCTAATTGTGCGACAGACCTGCTGGTTTCCTGAACAGATTTGGTGGGTATTGGTGCGCCCATCAGAGCGGAGCCCCTGATGATGGGCTTTAATAAGTTTAAAACGACATCTACCCACGACATCAACCCGATGACCATCCGACCCCCACCCCGGTGCAAATCCGGATCGGAAGACTCGCGAGGTTGGTTGCAGATCATCACCTTTGCCACTTGGCGCATGTCCAACACGGATCCTCGTTTGGCTACCAAAATGTGTGATCATGTGAAACAAAAACAAGTGCCAATTCGGGGTGGCTTTTAGACCCCAAACGTGAGTGGATGTGACAGATGCACACCCCGGGGCCGGAACTGGCACCCCGAAATGGAACTGCTGGTTGGTAGTGGTTCTTCCTTTCTTGCTTCATGCTGCATGCATGCTTGCACAATTTATCACAGAAAGCAGTTCCCAGTCTTGGAGTAAAACATTTGACTCACCTGACCTGTGGGTGCTCAGTTGGAGAGAATGCTCGAAGGGAATGAATTACGATAAGATAACCGCAGAGATGCTTTGGATGGCCCTGTTGTATGAGGTGTTTGGGGCTTTTGGATGGAACTGCCGCCCCGGTACAGTACTCGGATATCTTTTTGTATGTGTTTCTGGAAGGTTCCTTCAGCATTTGTTTTGAACAGAGACACCTGATTCTCCTATAAATCCTTGGACACCACAGACGCTGTCACCACACGTTGAGGTTGGCATCATCGAGCATCACGGCAGAAGGGCGGAGGGTCTGAGACCTTCGGCTTAGGCGACAGGTATGCCGCATGCCCCTCATGCCAAGCCTGAAACCCTCTTTAAACATGTTCAAGCACCATCTACGCGGTATTCCAGCCACACACTGCATGTGCGGCGTACCATCCTGCTTCTTGCTAGAGCTCCTAGAACAGCTACTCGAAGCTTGTGTTTTTCCAAGTACTTGCATTGAGCCAACCAGTTTCTCAATGTGGGTGTCCAGCTTGGAGCCGAATTTGTATTTGGGTTCCTTGGCAGGACCCTGCGCTCGCCGCTTTGAACACCTTCTTAGAGATGTTATGCTGTTGTTTATACAATGGTTCAATAGCTTGTTTTTGTTCAATGGTTTCAAGGTTGGCACTTCAGATCACTTATATAAATAATGACCGAAACCGACTCATCATGCCGGTCCGCCTTACATGGTTTCGTTCCTTGGTCCATACGGCCCAAACCCAACACGCGAGAGGTTAGTATGATACTGCTGGAAACCTTCGCCTCAAATCCACTTTGGTCACCATTTTCTGGAAACGGCCTCCACTTGTAACGCAACCAAGGGTGACCAACTTGCAGAAACAACAAGATGAAGTGCTGGGCGACTATGGCCCCTGGGCGAACTTGGTGGATGGACATTGACCTGGAAGAAAACGATCTGCAGGAAACATTTGGGCCCTAGGCAGAATGAAGGAAAACTACCTGTGTGAGAGCATGGATGTGGTTTTGCAGTGTGGATCTCTTGTAGTTGTAGGTGATTGGACCAACGACGAAGACTCGTGCTCAACCTACTCACTCAAAATATCTCAAAATGCAATATACGCAAAGTGGGGCTGGCATTTGTTTCGATCTGCAATAGACCCGATCGAATCATGCACCTTTCCGTTTTCGGCGGTTAGATCGATTAGATCGATCTGTTGCGCAAATGCTTTGCTGAACCCAGCGACGCTAACGCCCACACTTTGAACTTCCGCATGTTCAGGGACCTGATGGTTGTAGATCAGCTGTTGCCGGGCACGTGAGAAGCCATGCGTGGGGCCTCCAAGGCTATGGTGCCTTTGGCCTCCCGTTCGGCAGGAAGATTGAGGATGGGAATGTCGGTTTTTGTGGGTTTGGTGAGATGAAGAAGTGTCAACAATGTTTTTGTACATAATAATGTGTTTATCATGTATTTGTCAAATATGTTCGAAACCTTCAAAAGACATTGGAAATTTGCACAGAAGCATTGGTTTGAGAGGGAAACGTGGCTACAAGGACGCCGAGAAGAAGAAGAAGAGCCTGACCGCAGAGATCAACAATGGAAGGCTGGCCATGATGGCCATCATTGGTATCTTGGTGCCCAGCAAGAGGTCGGAAGGATATTGGGCTCTCCCAATATAGGCGCCACCCCCCTCCCTATCGCGTGGTTAGCCTGGTAGGTGTTGTAAGTGATCGTCGATTGTGTATCCACTAACATTCTGTATTGTGCTCAGGGCTGGGCCAAGGTGGGCTCTCGCCACACAGAGAGAAATCGGACAACGTGCTTCGATGAACATGCACACAAAATCACACAAATATTGTTGTTTTTTAGTTATTTTCACATCTTAAAATTTGACTGTCCAGGAACGGGGGCAGGTACACCTTCGCTCGGCCACCGAGGCATGTTCTACCAGGACGGCCTCACCGGCTCCGCCTGGGGCGACTGGGCCAACTACGCCGACTCCCCACTGAGGGCTTTCGAGGACCAAGATGGTTTGGACCGGTGTTGATGTGTTGAATCGTTAAAACTTGAATTTTGCCAAAGGAGAAACTTTGCGAGAGAGCAACGTTGAAGTTGCGTTGAGCTAATTTCCACTGTTTTCCAAGAATCAAGGATGTCCACATGAAGGAACAGATTCAGGGGTTGCACAAAATCCCTTAGAAGTTCTCCCAGTTCTCCCACAGTTGGAAATTGGCCTTTGGCCTTGGGCCTTCATTTCGCGGGGCATCGCAGCGTCTTGCGGCTGGGGCACCATTCTACCAGGATGAGCTTGGCGTCCAGCCGCCTGTTGGCTTCTGGGCGACTTGGAAGACGGCTGGTGTGAGAAACACGTGCACTTGGGGCGTGGCGTTTTGGTGCGATGTATTTGGGTGGATCAATGATCAGCCACAGAACCATCATATACTTGGTGGTCATTGAATGGGGACTGATCCAAGACGCGTGGGTAGCACTTGCTTGCAGTCTGATCATTGGGAACACGTGATATTCTGCTTTTCGTACGTATGGTCTAAAACGCTCTCACCAACACATATGTGTTTGCCAAAACGTTTGCCTTGAAAAACCTTCAGAACACTTGACCCACCACCCATATGCACCCCTGAAACATCCTGGATACTCTGGGGAGCCATTGATCCATAGTAAGGGGCCCGAACATTGTTCCGGGTACCACTGAGGATCCTGTGGGCTACACTCGCGATGGCGCGCTTCGGGCGGAGGGGAGAGAGAGCAGGTCGTTGGGGGGACTCCAAAAAAAACCTACGCCGGCGATGGCTGTGGCATGGCTATGTTCCAACTATGTTCCCCTATGCAAACGCGCATTGTGGGTGTTTTCTTTTTTCCAGGAACGAAGCCACTGAGAGGTCCAATAGGTCTTAGTCGCTTGGTTAGGCAAATTTGCTGCAAAGAGGTTCCAGGCGCTGAGCTTAATGTAGGCGGCTTAATCTGATCGTGCTTGGCCAAAGGCTCTTATTCTAGATATTCAAAACAAAGTGAAATGCAACACGGGCTAAACTGTATTTAATATATTCATATATATATATTCAAGATGTCTATATTCAAAAACTAGATATATTCACTAACATGTATTCACTGGCTGGTGATTTTAGTGTCTGACCAAGCAGGGCATAGAGACGAGACGTGACTCGCACCGTGTAGACTCGCTGGTCCCTGTAGACCGTTTCTGGGTTCTGATGGGACCCAGACTGCTTTGACCTGGGAAGACTTCTTAGCCACACGGTGATGTATGGCCCAGGAAGTCGCACATGATGTGGACGCGACAAATGTGGATCCCGAACTGCACCTTTTTTTGTCCAGACATAGACATGGCCTTAAAGAAATGGCCAGTAACTCCGTGGTGTGGCAGGCTCCTATGCTGCCCTTGATTTGAATTAGAGACATCAACCGTTCTTCCTCACCTGCAGGCAACGCTGAGACCTTCCAGCGCCGCCGCGAGACTGAGATCAAGCACGGCCGCGTCGCGATGTATGCCACCATGGGCTGCTTGGTGTTTTTGTTGGTGTTCCCTCAGTTCTTTCCGACACGAACTCGTGGAGTTCACCAAATCGAAAACACCTCCAGCAAACCTCCATAGAAGATTTGATGACCATATGAACCGTTTGGGAGACATGGAGCTTCTTCGAGCCGATCGTCAGGGCTAGCTGCTAGCTATACTTCGTGGTGCCAAATTGGTTTGCAACAAAAGGAAGTAGAGTCCCTGGGCTAACGAACATTTAGCACAATTGAACAAACTCTATTAGCGGATTGATTCACTTAACCCAGCTTTTGATCAAGAGGCTCCGCTGAATATTACAATTTAGCTGCACCTGGAACTACAAAGGGCCGGTGGAAAGTGGAAAATCAATGTATAGTAGCTTTTTGTTCCTAGTAGTAAGGCCAGGAGCCCCTAGTAGCGTCCTTGTTCCTAGTAGCGATGCCAGGACCCCTGGTAGCTTCTTTATTTAGATGCGGTATTTTCGCATCGACCAATTGGTGTTGAATTGGTCCTATACTGATAAACATTTTTCACTATCACTCACCGCCACTGGGTTGTAAGGCGCTATCTCAACAGAAATAAGTTTTGCGCGGCAGAGACCCAAACAAGGAAAGTGGGAGTCCTTCTAATCTGGCGTGCTTACCACCCTGGGATTGGGGAGAATGGTGTTCGGGGACTCGCAAGAAGTGATCAAACAAGAGCTTACCAATTGGCTGCCGTGATCACCCCTGCCAGGGACAATTACATAATCACTCCATTCTCGTGGTCGGTAACAAGATATTTCTTCTAGGTGAACATGAAGGGCAACACACTCCCACACCCATCAGACCTTGAATGAAATGTTTGTTCCACCATGTCGTTGACCAAGGCTACATCGTTCCTGAGTACTTCAAGTGGCCAGGAATCGGGGCCAGTGGCACAGCGGTTTTGGAGTGGATTTTACAGACACAATGGACATGGAACCTAATAGCAAAAGGAACCTAAGTGCAATGGCCTCCAACCCACTAGCAATGGCCTCCAACTTACTAGCGATGGCCTCCAACCTAACAATAGCGATGGTCTCTAACCTAACACAACACAATGGACTCTCAATGGACCATAAAGCGAATACGATTTGGCACACGCCTGGTGATCTATTTAGCAGCAAAATAGCAAAGCTGACTGGGAGGTTTGAGATGTGTGTGACGTGTGTCTTGTTGCTTACACCATTTTACAACGTTTCTAATCCTCAGCAGAAGTCAATTTAAGTTTCTGACAGGATGTTCATACACTTTGTTTTGTTTCTCAGTGCTTTGCCAGGATACTTGTCGCCCTCCTTGGGCTTGAAGTTCGAAGATGTGCCCAACGGTTTGGCCGCCATCACCAAGGCAGGATGCAATTGGCCAGACCAAGCCACAAAAACTCGCAAATGTGTCGGTGTTTTGAGCGAGTCATTTGTGGCCAGAAGGAAGAGAGGGCATCCTTCATCCGGAGTTATTCATTGAGTATGTTCAGTTACAATTGCATGCAGATGAGCCTCCCTAAACGAGCCCAGCATACAAATGAGGGCATATAGGAGACAAATTGAAGACAAATAAAGGGTGTTCAAAAAACTAGAACAAACGGGAGACACATAGAGGACACATAACAGATAAATAAGTTCCGCCCCCGTGTGTGATGTTTCAGGGTCAAATAGGGACAAACAATAAGAACATCGTTGCTCATTACACCCTAGGCTCGTTCACCCTAGGCCCACATTGACTCATGGTTGCGCAAATTCTATAAGTGATACTGATACTTGTATGATGTTATTAATCACTTAGCACGCCCATCGCTTTCCCTCGAAAAGGGAGTTGTGCGTGCACAAGTGTCTAGTGCTTTGCTGCAACCTCTGCGAGCGTGACATGGAGATTTGTTTGGATTCCCTTGTTCGAGTCATTCAGGTGTCCAAAGCATTCTCCCCTCGCCGGTGGATCAACACACAAGCAACAATATGGAGCTCCGTCACAGATCAGAATCATACCTTTCATTCTTGGCACACAGTCGACGAGCGACGATCAAGACCTGACTAGTGATATCCTCATCCACTAGGTCACTAGATTATCCCGCTACTGGCGATTGATCCTGACCCACTACAGACCCCTAAATTTCAATTAGATACAAAAGTAAATTCCCGCTAAAAGATCTATTGTAACCCTTGCCACTATCTGTTTGGGGACCACTATACGTTAGAATCATACACGACGCCCACGGCGTCGCCGCTCCACGACGCCGCGCCACCACGCACCGGGCAACGTCAGGTGCCGGGCAACGGCTGGGCGCAGATCGTGGCCTTCGCCGGCTACTACGAACTCTTCGTCTACAAGTTCAACGGCACCCCAGGCGGAACAGCAAGCGGTGCGCAGCCTGTGGCGCGCACGGGAAGGGTGAATTTGTCCGTGCCAGGCAGCCAGATTTATCCTTCCAGTTGGAGGTTTTGCGTGGGCTGAGTGTTTTTGTGTGTTTCTTCGTTGTTTGACAACGTGACCTACATGAAGACGGTTAGACAGACAAGTCAAAACAGCGTTTGGGTCTCAGGAGACTGAGTTTGATCACCCAGGCATTGTCCGGAGTTGCGAAGCAGGTATAACGTTGGCAGCACGACGCTGGCGCTATTCTCAAGTTCCTACACCGGTGGTGGACAAGGAGTTATTCAAGAGGTTTTAGTGTCATGAGATGTAGTTAGTAGTTATGTTCAAAATACACCTTTCCTGGCTGAACATGATAATTTGGAGGTCTCCAAATCTGTGACCAACTGACAAACCAAAACAAACCATTAGCCAATACACACTGAAGAGCCATGAGATTGAGAAATGGATCTTGCTCTGAAAATGCGCCCGTCTCACGCAGGTGACTATGGATGGAAGGCCATTAGCTCCGCTGACGCCGAGACCAAGAAGCGCAAGCTCAGTGCTGAACTCGCCAACGGACGTTTGGCCATGACACTTGGCCATCGTTGGATGATACAAAACGCATTTGTTGTTTAAATAGTGTTACATCAACGTTGCCGGACTTAGTGCACCTGAAATGAACTACTTTTGACTTGTTTGATTGTTAATTGTTGGATGTTTGTTTGGTTGCATTTTTGCAGACCCTGAAGATTTCATCCTTCATCCGAACCAATTTTCATTAAGCATCAATGGACAGGATGTTTCCAGTTGTTCATGTGTGTGTAGCCACCCCATCCAATTTGACCATACAATGCCATGCAATCAAATCAGCCAGACCAGACCAGTTACCAGTTGGAGCAAGATTGGAACCAATTTGATGAGAACAAGAGTAAACCAAGGGCATTGAGTTTATCGGAAGCATTTGAATAGCAAAGATGTTTGTTCGTTGTTGCCCCTTCATTTCATGCCATTAAGGTTCCTTAGGGTGTATGGGATTCTTAGGAAGATGATACGCTGCATTGGCTGGAACTGCACCACTGACCATGCTGCACCAAAAGATTTGACTTCTTAGACTGAATATATCTCTTGGAAGAACATCTGGAAATCCATGAAGATCAACATTCCAACCATGAACAGTGCTAATTATGGCCAAACAGCTCGTCCTTCCTGAGAGCAAGGCTCGACAGGAAAGGAACCCATAGATCAAAGGACCATAGCAAATCTAGGGTGTCTTTGAGACAAACAGCCCAATGCAAGTGTATCTACAAAGTGATAGTGAGTTAGCATAATGATACAGTTAATATGGATGAAGCTGCTTCTACCAAAAGCAGGTAGTCTCTGTTAGGCCAGGCTCATTTCCCAAGGATGGCGATCATTGGTATGTTCTTCCAAGACGGCCTCACAGGTTCGAGCTTGGTGTGATTAGGTGGAGGGGCGGTTGTCAGTCGGGTCTTATTGTGTTGGTTAGTGATGCGATGTCTTGGTTGCTGTGATAGGTTGGTTGTATTGTCTTGGTTGCTGCTTGTGACAAATTTTCACTATGTTGTACTTGGAGGGAACGCCTCCGCTCACTGAACTCTTTGGCTCTGAGATGGAGTCATTATAGTGGTCCCCAAATTCCCAAATAGATAGAAACGGTGTCCAATACATTACTTTGTGGGGATCTGCTTTTTTATCTATTTGGGCGGGGTTATTTATGTTATTCAGACTTTTGCAATATGTCTCGTGGTCAGTGTGACCATCGCAGGTTGGGCTTGTTTGGGACATGTCCGAGCTCATCATTTGCTGTCAAAGATGACAATTGACTTGCCAATACTTCAGGCAGTGACAAATATCCGAGAACAATCCGAGAACATTCATATACTTGTTTTGACTGGCTGGTGTTGTCTTTGAGGCAACAAGTCGCATTTGGTTTGGGTCTGATTCCACTCGCATAGGTCCTCCGCACATCAAAAAAGATTCCCGGCGCTCGAGTCCGGGGCTCCAAGTCTAATTGGTCCATCTTGGTCCATCCGAACTATAGTCAGCCACGCTAGTAGTAACAGGTGCCTTACTAGTAGTAACAAGGACGCT